TGGTAGAGGCGGTGGTAGAGGCGGTGGTAGAGGCGGTGGTAGAGGCGGTGGTAGAGGCGGTGGTAGAGGCGGTGGTAGAGGCGGTGGCAACAGCGCAGGATCAAATTCGCGCACGATCCATGTATATTTTTGATTGAAAATTATAAAAAACAGAAAGGAAAATAAAAGAAAAATATTCAACGAAATATTATAACGAGTAAATTAACTTTTATACCCCCCAAAATCCATAACGCTTTTTTGGAGAATGAATGGAGCTATTTCGTATACAACAGAATCAGCACCGAAACACATCGAGACCCTTCAATTGTCTTTTGTTACACCTCGATTGCATCATCCGTTCACAAAAAAATGTTTGCGAAATTTTGTTTCCCATTTTGTTTTTGGAAAACCTGGAGGACGACTGGAGCGATTCAATCTATGATTCAATCAGTGCTGAATGATGTGAAGACGCTTCGATTGTATCATAGTAGACCTCGATCGCATAAGTCGTTCACGAGAAATCGCTGAATCATTTTTTGCTACAATATTTCTCGACAAACTGGAGAACGACTGTAGCTAGTCAGTGTATAACATAATCAGTGCCGAATTGCATTGAAACGCTTCGATTTCCTTTTGTTACACCTCGATCGCATCATCTGTTCACAACAAAATGTTTGAGAAATTTCGTTTCCCATTCTTTTCTTTTAAACTGGAAAACGACTGGAGGGATTCAATTTGTAATCTAATCAGTAGTGAATGACGTCAAGATTCTTCGATTGCATTATATTAGACCTTGTAACGTGACATTTTCGCGGGAGACAGAAAAATGCCCATTACCTTCGCCCTACTTTCCCTAAGCCTAATAAAACCTGCTAAAATTTAACCAAATGGGCGCCAGGTAATCTTTAACCGGAATTACCAAACCGGAAAATTCTGTAAACCTAAACTTAACTAACCTCGAAATTCATTGTATCGAAAATCGTAACTCTAACTCTAACTCTAACTCAAAAATATACTCTAAAATCAGAAAGGAAACCTGAAGTGAACGGAAAGGATAATTAGGCTTTTGGGGAAAGGTGACGGTCCTGGGGTCGCTCAGTATGCCAGTTGTGGAGAGAGGGGTGGATCGTAGATGGGGGCAAGGTTACTGAAAAAATCGGGAAAAATACAAAAAAAAAAGGAAACGGCAGGCGAGAAATAAATTAATGCGACCAAACATTGTCCTTGCGTGTTCCGTTATTCATGTCATAATTCGGTACAATAATAATAAATGATAAACAATTGTATTATACCAATCTGCTTCTGAATCGCATTAGCCATTTTTAACTTCCTCTAAATATTACGTTCCAGCCAAAAATCTCCAAATCCAAATTTAATTCTCCTTTTCAATTATCGCGAAATAGGTATTTTCTAACAAAAATCTAAATAAAACTTCAACTGCCTCCTTAAATCGCCGCGAACATAAATTATTTAACAAGTACCGAATACATCGCTGAACATCCCACACTAGTATCCAATAATCTCATCGGAATGCGGCATCAAGGATTATCGATTGGCGATAATCCGAGGAATAACCGAAATATTATTTGCGCCCGGGAAATCGATAATTTCCCGGAATCGGACCCTCAACGAGTGAGCGCGAGCGACAGAGAGAGAGAGAGACGGCACTATGCCTCGCTGCTCGGTTAGAAGCGAGGAGAAATCCCAAAAAAAAAACATCTAACTTTACTAAAAATTCGATAACGCAGAATCCGCTCGGCGGATTCCGGAAAACCCTTGACCATCTGGTCCGGGATACCCTTCCCCACACTCCCACAAAAATTCAGTCGTAAGGGCCCATAATTAACCTCGTTTACGCAATTAATAGCCACGATGCAATTTTAATACGCGATTTCCCACCTGTTGCACACAGCCACTCGCTGGCGGCCTCGATTGCGCCACGAGGGAGAACCACTGGCCTTGTTCGTTGGCGGTAGACCATTTCATTTAAAATCCGCATAAATTACCCCCCCAAATCCCCATAACTTACATCAATGACCTCCCAACCGCACTGGGGGATAATACAGGCCGAAATTATTCGGAAAAATCCCTCCACAGACCTCTCCAAAACCACCCAAAACTTGGGGGACACAACCGACGCCATTTCCATGGCTCGGAAAAATCTCTGACCGCCAATAATTTATTGGGGAGCCGCCAAAAAGGGGAAAAATCTTTAATTAAGGCCGTAAAAACTCACTGTGGATTTTCTTGCTGCCCTTCTCTTTCGTTTCAGGACCATCCTGGTGGCAGCTAATTGTCCTGGTGTTCTCGGGATGATGCACTATCACGTCTCACTACTCACTCCTGTTCACTCACGTGTGGATGTTACCGCAGTTAATGCGTAACTGATTTTCGGAGGTCAGTGTCGCGTTGCGCTGACCCCCTAATCACGCCTACCAATCGATCGGGTGTCGATTGGTGGATTCCTCTACATTATTCTGGGTCAAGCCCTTC